TATCTACCCGACGCTTATAAGAGGGTCCTGGCCGCTATACCACTTAGCGGTACTGACAGACCGGGTGTCTCGTTATGTTCTCCTGGCGATCTGGTTTTTATTGCATTTAGCTAAACTGTTGATTAAACGCTTGATGGCAGTATGCTAGACTTCAATCCATTTCCATTTTGTAAAAAGAAAACAGACAGTTTAGACTTACGATAAGATCACCTCGAACTTTTCCGCGAAAAAAATTATTCCAAGAAAATCTGATTGCGAAGATTTTAATGGGAGTAATGAGCACAATCAAAAATTTCTACGCGGCTCATCTACCACAATTTGCGCTGATGGATCATTTATCTCTAATTGGATTATGTGTCGGCTGATATCTTGTTCAAACATATCATGGTCCTTTATCTGAAACAGACTTTTAGACCACCGCACTTTGCTATCTGGTGGCACGCAATCATCCCTTCTATAAGAGCTCTGCTCTTGGCGATCAATCTCACTTCAGTCAGACAGGTTTGTCAATACTGAAGACATCATCTCCAAGGCAAGGAGCTGTTTGTTAATACACCGGGCTTGTGTGCCATTACAAGAGAATAACAACAGGGCTTAAACAGAACTGGGACAGCAGATATTCTTAATACTTCACGGCTGGATATTTTCTGAAAAGTGTTATTACATTGATATCATGTATCTCATTTATATAAGTTATATCTTTATTGCACATTTATTGCTCTATAAAGATGTGAGAATCAGGATTAGATTGAACAATCTATTGTTTAGATAACTAGAAACATGAATAGCTAAATTGAATATTAGTCATTTGCATTTACATCATCAATCTCTCTTTTTTTTTTTTTTTGAATTTCAATATTAAGGAGTGTATGTGGTTTTTCTTATTCTTCCTCCAATTGTTACCCTGTTAACGACCTTTTTCTTTTCCTTAGTTTTTTCCGGTTTAATATCGCGTTTCCATATTTCAGGTAGCTTTGAGATTCCACTTTCTCCTGGTAATAGTACTTTAGAAGGCGAATCGATAGTATTTTCTGTAAGATGATCGCGACCGTCTAGTGATGAATCTTCTTTTTCCAAGTCTTCGACAAGTTGTTTCAAAAATCCACTTGATCCACTCCCAGCTTTAGTCACAGGTTCTGAGAAGTGAGTTTCTCGTGAATTAGGCGCACTACTGCGAGACTTGATAGAAAGACGCTTAGCACTGTTAAATGTTTTTTCAATCTCCCCCTCCTGGTTCAACTGGTCATCTTCTTCCTTTAACGACATGTTTGTTGTGTTTAAATCTACAGATGCTTTCTCCAAATCGTCCGCTGTCTTTTCGTCGTCTGAAATCTGGGGGTCGTAGTTCTTATCAACAAGAGATCTGTACTTGCTGTTTTTCAGAACTATTTTAGCGATTTGGTAGGCTTCGTTATCTTCAGCCTTTTTGAACCTTTCCAACAGATCCGCGTGGGCTTTATGCATCTTCCTGTATCTGTCTTCGTCGTTGGACATCTTTGCGTACAAAACACTTAGAGATTTCGATATGTTATTGACTCGTTTAATTTTGTAAAGGGTGCTTGTCTTTATTGAAAAATTGCTAAATTCGAAAGAAAGGTCTGGGCACGTACGGCTCGGTGCATGCGCAACAGTCCTCGGCCTGCGTTCACTGTTAGAATAGGCTGTCGGTATGGCGGGAAGGCTTTTCGTGGCGGAGATCACAGAACCGGCAGCACCTGCTGCAAGACCCAACTCTTTAGCAGACACTGGTAAACTGCCCTTTCTTCTCTGTCTGTTATGGTACTGCTCGTTTTCTCTGAGAAGTGCCACGGCAGAGCTTGAAAATGGTCGTATTGCAGCCAAGGAAGGCGTTCGTGCCAAAATATCACTGAGATCATTTTTTACGCTGGCTTTTTCGTGGCGGTGTTTTCGTCTTGTGACGTCTATTGCTCTGTCAATAACTCTAAAATTAAAAAAATAGAAATAGCAAAAATAGAAATAATGAAAAAAAATCTCGAATAGTGCTAAGCAGTTTTATCTGCGTATTGGTTTAAAGGAATAAATAAAATCATTGCTATTTAGGGGGTATTTCGTCTAATGTTGTTTATTAATTTTTTAGTTTTAATGACACAAATATAATACTTTTGGTAGTAAAATTTGTAGAAAAATTCACTACATACTCATTGTGCTGAAATCAAACACAAAATCAAAAGTAATGAAATTAAATTTGAGATTTGCTGACATTTGTGGACTTTACGTTCATGGCCAACATTTAATCTTTTATTTTAAATTTTGTCTGCCTAATCTATGTATTAATAATTATCATTACAATTAATTTGGAAGTATTGTTTATCTTTCAGCTTTTGCAAGCATTTCGTCTTACAATGAGATCACATATGAAACATGTAAAAGGATGTAAGCAATGACGTGAAGTCATACCACAGCACTATAAAATGTCAACTGTAACCGTATCCAAGCAGACACATGGTCATTTGCTAAACACAAAAGATAACTTTTTCGTGACTTTGGTTTCGAAAAGATGTTACGCTAAACACGAACGCTTCTTAAGTAGCTCTCAGGGTTTCTGCGTTAAATTTGCAATAGTGCTTAATTGTGTGTTGGGAAGTCAACCGAACATCATCTTAATCCTGATAACACACATTGGATACTGCGCGCGTAGGTCTTGGAAGAGAAATAAACAAAATATAATGGAGATGGAAACCAAAATATGGAATCTCTTACTTTGTCTGAGCTTTGAGATGCTTCTCTTCTCTAGCATTTGTCTTTCTTGTGCGTAGAAATTCTTTGACGTCCAATATAGCGCCATGACTGGCGTCGTGATACAGATGACCTACGTCGCTCATTACTGGTGTTCTGGGTGTTTTTGAGAGACAACTCTCAAATCCTTAAAAAATGTCAGCATCTGTTTCTAGTGGTTTCAATAGGCATCCTGGCTTTTATAACTCTCGTGTCAGTTCTGTCCTTTAAGTTAACCTTTAAGTAGGTTTAAAGTGCTGTCTTCCAAATATATTTGACAAAGGACTCTCAACTCATGTTTGCTTTGGTTTCTATGCGTAAATGACAGTCATATCATTCGTGCTGTTTCCGGATGTCAGTCTGTGCCCGTGGTTGTCACATTTTCAACCCTTTTAGCAAGATACCAGACGTGATTTCAACGTATAAAAAACTAGCATGTGTCTAACTCTTCAGCGTCTGTTTTCAGTGGTGTCTATACGCTACGTCACTCGTGCTAATTCTGTTGTCCAAGTGGTATCTCCCTATAGAGCTAGCTCCCCTATCAAGGTATGGTAATCTGTGACACGCACACCGTAAAATTCTTGTCTCGAGCTATCAGCTTGAGCCGGTATAATAGGAACCTTGTCTTAAGTCGAACATTCAACAAACAATTCGGATAAGTTCATAGAAGATGTGCGAAACGCTTTTAAGAGGCGTCTTGTCGTTGATTGGAAAGTTTGACACTTTGATGAATTTCTGTCCAATAAGGAAGATGCGTAATCTTTTGAAGATATCCACCCGTTTCTTAGAACCCGGGGGAATTTATTCACAGTTTCCCTGTTTCTGTAATACTATAGCTCACCTAAAATCACCTGATCAGCTCGTCAGTCACGACTGTGTCATTTTGTGGTGGCTTTAACGGGAATGGTTTTCTGGCATACCCCTGCAACCCAAGCCTATGGCCTACCATTTAATCCTGCGTCCAGTATCAATGTCAGCAGAACCAATCGGGTTATCTATTGGTTTTCTAATGCCGACTGAGTCTAGTCCTTGCTTTATTTCCTCATTTCTTTACCTTAAATTCCCGGGTTGATTAGACAGGAAGATTACCGGGCTTTTCTGCACGAAACCCATATTGATGCAATACAGGGGAAACAATCTCCAGATTAAAAAAAAAAAAAAACTTTTCAAATACACTCAGCTATCCAACCTCCGGCAATGTTCATTGTATACTAAAGTATTCTTTAAACAAGCCAGGTAAGAGAAGCTTAATGGTTTCTTGATTAAGGAAGAACAAAACGAGCAACGGGACAGTTCGCTTTTACGTCCTCCATATATTTGAATAGGATGATTGGGGATTTATGAATCAATAACTCGACCTATAATAATGCGATGCCGTTTTAGTAACGCGAGAAGAATGTGTACTCAGTGATAAAGTGCTCTCAAATTGAATATGGCTGTCAACATCTAGGAACGATAAGTAGTTGTAAATCTTTGACAAGTTTATCCTTGCCTCTAGAATAGAACTTATAATGTTTAGATATAGCGCTGTGAGCTATTTGCAAAAATCATTTTTTGTTACGAATCCGTGGGCTACTTAGTCTGTGGCAAATAAATTGAATAACTGGATAAAAGGTGATTTTATACGCACAAAGGGAAATTATTTTATGCCAGTTTGAACTTCAGCTGACATTTTAAGATAATTAAATTCCCAATTCAAAGGTTTTTAATAAAAAGGACGGTGAAAGTCAATACTCCAAAGTCTGTTGGTTTATCCCTAACATGGACGACCTTCAGGGGGTGTAAGGATTTAAGAAAATGCTAAAAGTTTGATTTTAGACCATAACCAAAAGATCATTTTTATTTCAAAAATTTCAAAACAAAAATAAATAAATAAAAAGCGACTAAGTGTGCCCCCTCCCTGCAATTATGCATTATCCACTAGTATAAACAACAACAGAACCCGTGTAACGTTCTCAATTTACTTCATACATACATGTGTTTTTGTATTTACATTTTAATCAGCTCGTCACTTTTGTACATTATAAAACATTTCCCCTCCTTGTCAATTACTTGGTCTCGTTGAAAATAGCAACAACAACAATAAATCAATTAAATGAGACAATAGAAAAAGATTTTAAGGTTTATCTCCTATGAATTGTATCTTTTTCATTTTGCGTTGGAAATATATTTCTCTTTTTCGTTTTAGATAATAGAATCTGTTATATTTGCAATTTATCATGTACGTAATTACAGAAGTTTTAACGTTAAAAATATATATGTATATATCAAACATTCCCATAAAGCTTATTTCGATCCATTTTCAAGGTAAGAAAATTGATATTCGTTTAAAAATGTCACTTTCCACTTATTGTTTGTTTATTGTCAATCTCCATTACTTTTCTGTGTGGTTTGTTAGAATCTAAACCGCTAGATGGCGTCTTAACACACTTCTTTTTATCTCAGCAAAACAATGAAAAACTTAGTTACATAGCCGGATTTGTAAACTTTGATATTTCAATTCGTATTGATTTTATCATGCACGAAGAGAGAAAATACTTGGGTGAATAGGCCGATAGTTATTCAAGCAGTGGATTAATGCATTATAAATATGAATGAACGAACATAGCAATACTTGGGCATTGAAATAAATGGGTCTGTTATTTACTCTTTCACCGGTTCTGTTTATTTTGAATTTAATCGTTGGTTGGATTCAGTTCGTTGCAATGCATGTAGCACCTTTTGACTCCAGCATTCTGGAACAAGAAATCATGACACGCCGTTGAAGAGTTTCTCGCCAGTAGACTTTTTAATTCTCCTTATCGTGACAGGCAAGTAAAACGTCTTAAGTTGTGATAAACGATCCTTCACACGTACAGGTACAAGTCTTGTCGAGATAAAGTCGTGTGAAGAATCTGTAAATCCTAATTAAATGTCGCCTTAGACGTTGTAGGTTTCTTCTTCCTTTACATATGCTGTCGAAACTAAATAACGTTAATAGCCCAAAGCTGGTAGAAAAGGTAGACTGAACTTTAAAACAAAATTTGCTGTGTACAAAGTACAAAGCAAACAGACCCCCGTCATATATTAAGTAATCAAAGATAAGCGATCCCTACATTTGACCTATTTACTATTAAAAAAATATTTATCCACTGCTGCCAGGCGTGGGTTCAATAAAGGTTAGATACGACTTCACNCAATATNAAGGTAGACTGAACTTTAAAACAAAATTTGCTGTGTACAAAGTACAAAGCAAACAGACCCCCGTCATATATTAAGTAATCAAAGATAAGCGATCCCTACATTTGACCTATTTACTATTAAAAAAATATTTATCCACTGCTGCCAGGCGTGGGTTCAATAAAGGTTAGATACGACTTCACGTGTACACCACAAAGAAATCCGTGAAAAAAATGGTACAATCGAATTGTTTATACATTAAGACTGACTTAGGGACGGTTTCGTTTTCTGTAAAAGAACAATAGCCAGTGTATATTGGAGAGCACATTTCTTTTAAGGTACTGGAGAAGAAAAATGATAACCATTATTATCAGTTATAATATCTGCTTTAGATAATTCAACAGGTGACCTCAGTATCTTATTTTGATCCCTGTTTACTAGACAGAATATAAATCAACGTAAATGAACATTTTATAATAAACCCTCTAGTAGAATGTTCCACTTTTGTCGATGGCATAGTAATTAGGTAATCACATTTTGAGGAGGTACTGCATATAATTTGAAGCTTTGAAGGGTCTCTTTTTTATTTTAAGATTTTGTTACTCATCATGACTTGTAGACACAAGTCGGTTAATCATTTCATACTTTCCCACTGTTAAAATGCCGACGAAAAAAAAACTAATCTGATTATAGTCTTAGTATGTAGTAGCAAGGAGTAGCTAAGCAGAATGTCATGTTAAAATACAAATCGCTTTCAGTCAATACAGTAACAAGGACTATCTAAATATCAAAAATTGATCAAGATTATGAGGAGTGTCTCGGTGTTGACAGTGATGTTGTGATTGCGTGATCAGTGTTAAAGAGTTTCAGGTAGCGCCAACTCATCCCCTCTGAGTAAACAACCGATCACTTCTCCCTCAGACACTCCTGAAATTAAGCGTCCCTTTGTCGTTTTTTTAAGATGATTACTGATGATGGTTGATGATTACTCAGTGTGATTCACTTTCTGTTGATTCTTACTCTATGTTTGATCATCCCATAGGCTATCATTTTGAACATGCGATTCACTAAAATGTTGCATAGTTTTTATATTTTAATTACTATGAGGGGAATTAACTTAAAAATACCCCCTTCCCAGATCGGTATTTATGATTTAGTTTCAGCTTTAGTCTGGTATGAACTTGGTTTAAAAATGAAAAATATGGTAACATTGGGTTATTAAGTGACTTTACCCTGTTAGGTTATATGAAGATTTAGATTAAGGTTAAACCTTACAGGTGTCAGTGTTCCAGCCCACCCACACTTCAAATCTTGCATCCGACGTTAAATGTCGTTCTTGTTCCTGTCATATCAGCTTTTCAATTGTGGTAGTTGTCTCTCCAATTCTAAACTCAATTGCGTTCCACCATTCTCTCGTTGCAGGCCTACTATTGCTCACGATGGATTTCAAGCAGAAAAGAGAATTAATGCTGCTTGAGAAACAGATTGAGAAAGGAAGGACGAATCTTTTATCTAGAATACAACACGAGGAAGCGAAACTTGAAACTCGATTAATGAATTTAAAACTTCACCATGCTGTTTCGAAGGTGCTTGTCGATGATGCTTTGAATCCAATAACTCTCGATATTCCCTCTGAACATTTACCTTCCATCGGAAATACAGAGGAAAGAAAACCAGCAATAAGTGACAAGCTTCGGAAACTACATTTAGGAGTGAGTTCGTCACTTCCAGATTTACGAGCCGATGGCAACCTGTCTGAAGACGAAGCAAACTTGCAAGCGACACCCGCCAAAAAGAAAAACTCAACAGAGTCTGAATCAGGTTTCATTAAAACATGCTTGTCGCTTGAAAAGATTCCAGCCAACAAAGAAACCAAACAAAAAAGTATGTTGGAAAGAGAAACCGAGAAATTGTTAGGGAGCAGTTCGTCCGTAAAATCATCTGACCAATCGGATTTTAATGAATTTGATAGCAGAGGTGATATCTTGAAACGCAACAGCATGTCCTTGGGGCAACTGAATGTTAAGGAGTGTTGGTTGGGCGATCCAGACGCCATAGGATCTGTAAGGAGAGGAAGACGCACAGAAGACGAAAGACATCTGAGAAGACTTATAGTTCGTTCCTTGGACGACGTATCTAGAAAAAAGATAGTGGGGAGGAGACTTTACAAAAAAGCTGAAGAAGACGCAGAACGTGAAAGGAGAATACAAAGTGCCGCCGCAAAAGAGGCGAAATTAAGAGAAAAACAAAGAAATAGCTTCGTCCCACCGTACCCAGTTTACTTTGCAGACGCGGGGCTCAAATATAAAGACACATCAACAACATTGCAAAAAACGTCACCAGAAAGCGTGTCAGAGGATTCCGTCTTACCCAGCAGAAGACATTCTTCAAAAGGGCATCGCATGCGAAAAAACGTTGATGTACCTGAAAAAGCTGCTTCTTTCGAAAATCTTCCAATAAAGTTTGAAGTGAAAACGGAGATTAAGCGAGCCCTTCAACTGGAACAAGCCAAGAGAGCGAACATGCGTCCATGTTCGTCTCCGGTATTTAAAAGTTCTCATGCTAACCACCCCGAGTTTATCAGAGACGACATAAGTGACGGTCAAAATGACGGGAATCAGACCACCTCCACCACATCAGGCGCACCTTTTGTGCATTCTAAACCTCCAACAGGAAGATCTCATATGGCAACTAAACCCGCGAGAGTTCGGTCCTCTCCTTTGCCAAAGCTGCTAACAAGAAACCACAGTTTCCATTTATAAACATTGTAAGGCCTGGGTTTTTAGAGGTACTAGCATTTACATCAACTTGAGCTCAAATAACAGGCTCACAAAAGTTCATTTTTACATTTTATTGCATACAAATGGTCTTGCAAAACTATTTGTTGGACATCATATTTTAATAATAATAACAATAATATCAGAGAGCTCTGTTGCTTTATTACGTTGCTGCCAAAAATATTATTATTCCGGGTAGTTATCATGGGTTTAACTTAGTTTGCCAAATGTGTTACTCAAATATTAGATCATTAATCCACAGGCCATTATGTTAATGACCAGATGTTAAAATACAATTATTTTCATAAACACTTCCTAGATGGATATCAAATGTACTTGTCATACTGAGGAAAAAAGCAAGTCAATTATGAATTTCAATTTAGTATGTAATGTTTTTTACTAAAATTAGGAACTGCTAACAATGAGCATTTACTGCTTCAACGTGTCACAGTAAAAAATCAACTCCTTGGAGTTTCTCAACAAAATTGACCTCCGATTCATCTGTCTTAACAAAAGAGTTATAATTTGTCCTTTCTTGCAATCACATTGCACGATTCCATCCAAATATATATTTATAAATATGTACAAATAAATAAGCATGGTGAAATTGTCCTAGGAATCCTGAATCAGTCATAAATTTTTCCCAGTTTGGGGTTGATGTAGAAGACTTGATTCCTGCTGTGACTACAGTTATCTCTACATATTTTCAGATTAAGAAAAAAAAAACTATGTTGGAGAAATTTGACATAATTCCACTTAGTCCAATGTTAATATTTTTTATCATAATCTTTCCGAAGAACGAGCTGCAATTGAACGCATAGTTCCATATACCTTGGATGGAGGACTCCCTAGAAATAAAAAAGTATGAAGAGAAGTAAGCATTTAAATCTACACACAATAAATTCATGCTAATTAAAAGCAGCCAAACAAAATGCTTTTATGAAACAATCTTTTCAAAATTCAAAATAACTATCTGAAATATCTCTTTGAATCATGTTTCATCCATGCAATCTATCATGTGGAAACAATATTGTAACTTTTTCTAGTCAAAATTCATTAATCAGGAGAGGTCCTTTATTATTATTTTTTTTTTCAATTTAAATATTTCAGAATCTTTTCAACTATTTAATAAGATGTGCTAAAATAACCAATATAAACTTAAGTGTGAAAAAAAGAAAAAATTATGCTCACCCAAAATAAGACTACATATAGCTGTTCTTGCTATCTTTATGTTTTGAAAGGAGCCCAGAATATGTATCTTCCTGAAAAGAAAGAAAAAATCCAGAATTTAGGTGAATAAGAAGGAAACAATAATTTATCATCACTATTTTTATTTATTCTTATTCTATTTTTTTTTTTGGGGGGGGGGGGGGGGGGGAGGGGGCAATTTATATTAAACTTTTGATGGAATTTGTTAAAAACAGACCAACCTTTAACTTGAAGCACAATTCAAAGATTTTATTCTCAGCATCTTTTCATCTTGACATAAAAAGCCAAGATATCTTGAAGTCAGAATGTCATGATGCAGACCATTATCTTTGTTTGAAGAAGCCTTGGTAATGTTTAAAAACCAAAAAGCACACACACTTATGGTCAGGAGGTTATAAACATTCATCTCCTCAAATGTACTTACGTATCTGCTAAAATTATTCTTGTTTTTGTAACATTTTCAATTGTAAACTTTGTTCTTCCCCCTTTTCCTGCTATTCTCCCAATTGCTCTTGATAAGTGATCACCTTTCAGCGGTTTGACTAAAATGATAAGACTAGGAGTTCAGATTCCAAGTTTTTAGTGCTCAGAATGTGTGACTTAGCTGTAATGAAGTTAATTGTCATGAAGTTAACTTAAATGAAGATTATTTAACAATTATTCAATTATGTAGTCATACAATATTTTGTTCAAAGACCTGGTCATGGTAAAGCTGGGAACTTAAATCATAGCTCCAAGTGCCACTCAGGGAGGCAAGATCAGTTCTGGTGTATTTTTTTTCTATATTCACAATAAATATGCTTGTAACTGTATACAAAGTACTAACCATCTGTAATTTCAAAGGATTCCAAATATAGGTCATCAAGTCTAACCAATGCTAGGGCATCCTGTAAAACAAAAGATTATCACCTTTTGATTAAATGAAAAGTTAGATTTCTAAACTAGCAATGACAACAATGAAATAAAACATAATGTTTATCATGCATTTCAGTGCATGCTCAAACACTGTCTTTAAAACGAATGAATTAAACACAGACATGTTCATATATCTTATGCCAAAAGGGTGTTTACTAAATGTTTTTCAACAAACAAATACATGTACATGACTACAACTTAACAATATCCATGTTCCCAGAACCCATTTACTTTCACCGTGAATTTAGTAATCAGACCTTTATGTAAGCGAGCAGAAAAATAGTAATTGCCCACCCCCTGCTTACTCCATATAGTGTGAAGAAACCATATATGCAAAAAGTCAAGGAATTTAGAAATGAAAAGGAACGTATGTTGACATTAAATGATTGCAACAACTAACCTCTACATCAAAACCTAAAGTAAAAGCTTTGACAAAATCTGCCCCTTTTTGTAATGCCCCTATGTCCTTTGTTTCTTTGCATGTCTGAAGAAAAAGAAGATATTTTATAAAAGAGCAATAACCAATATGTGTCAAAATGATATTATCATGTAAGATTATTATTAATATGCTAAGTTTACCTTTAGCAGTAAGTACAAGACATGAAACAAATGGCTTTATGTATAATTGCAAATACCGAAAAGATATAATAGTAAATGAAGTAATGCACATATCTGTCCCTGTACATACATACAGTATTACTGTAAACATCATGTAAAGGAAAACCCTGTCCAAACTAGGTAGATTAAAATTTTTAAGAAGTTGCGTGCTACAAACCTTTAGTTCCACATTCCTGCTTTTAAGATTAAATCGAATTTGTAAGTGCAAATGTTCAACTATGGGTGTGAAAATTTTCATCCAATTTTCTTTAAGAGGTGTGTATCTGTTTGCTGGTACTGCTATTTTCCTCATATCTGACTTTCCACCCTAAAAAAATATATTTTTTAATATAACAAAAATAATTAAGCAGCAGTTATCATAGAAATGGCATTGTCAATTTGACAATGGGCTTATACAAAACTGATTCTCAAATCTACTACAATGAAGTCATACACCGGGCATCGATCATCTGACACAGTACCATGAGTTTCTCTCCGCTTATGGGAGGGAAGTTGGGTCTCTTTGGGGCAGCCTCGGTCGTGTCCATTGATGTTTGTCCGGCTTCTTCTGCTTGTTGAAGCTTCCTCTTTCTTGATTTTCGTTTCACGCGTGAAAATTCTTCCTGTTCAGAGTCCATTTTAACATCGACACCTTCCGAGCTTGGAACATGTGTTACACTCTCCGCCATGTTGGTTTATAATTCCCGACATGCTTCACATATTTTTCAGAAATGAACGGGTAAAGGTTGCCTGGATGATATCCTAAAAACATAAGAGCAATATCAATGAATTTGCAATTATATGTACATTATTAAAGTAGTATTTTGCCAGAAATTGGGAAAAAAAGTACATCTCGTTTGCACGTCAATATCCCAGAGTTCCTAATTCACTATGTCGCTGTCAAGTGCACTTTCTGAGGCACATTTCTGTAGTTTACAGTCTCAGAGTAACGTTTATGGGCTAGCCAAATTTTCAACGCCATGCGGAAGAAACAAGTTACTGGCAGCGTCGCTTCGTGGTCAAATTATATGTATGGAATATCAGACAGTGACAGGGAAATTAAAGCCGTTACCCAGAGAAGTACAGTTCACTTACATCCCAGGTTCGTCTGCTAGGAATAAGAATTTATTTTACTGTTCAAATAGTTTTAGATCTACAGTGCATAAACACGTATTTTGTTGGAAGGTATTTGTTTGCGAGTTAATGAAATGTTCACAACGAAACATTTTGAGATGAAAGAAATTTTGAAGAAAGTTTAGCTCAGTCGCACTCTTTCTGAATGCAGTCATTCAGGTTGTCCTCAAATTATGTGCTCAACTTGGGTTTGGCATTAATTTAACCAACTGAGTCAGTGCAGTACCACTGTTGTTTAATGTTTGAAGCCAAGCACATAGTTGCTCTTGGATATTTTGTCATTTAGGCGATGCAGAAATTGTAGCTATTGATGCCTTCAGTAAAACTGGAAAAGATAAAGGAGTAGTAATTGCCATTGCCTTTATCAAATGTGTGAGTATATGATTTTTTCACTTCTTTTCTTTTCAATTTCAATATAATGTATGCTTATAACCAATCAAATGCCAGCATAATTCAACGAATAATAAAGGGGCTGGGTGTTGATTCATTTCCCCCCAAAAAATGATATTTAAACAAATGTTGATTTTCTTCTTTCTTTTTGCACTCTAAATATAACCTTGGGTAGTTTTTGCCAAGCCTCATTTGAATAATTATGCTATGATGCATGCAGCAATAATGGCCAATTCATTACTATGTCATTTGGCAGGCATTTATGAACTGGAGGGATGGATAAGTAGGTCAAATTTACAACCAGAAATTTGCTTCAAATATAACTTAAATTTAAACCAGTAAATCCTTTTTTATGTGTGTGCGATGAATAGCCTTGAGCTACTGGTGTGATGTGGCTAGGACAGACTGATTGTGACTGTGACCAGTATAGGAGTCAAGTTGCAAATTTACATTTTGTGAACTGACATGTGACCTATCTTTACAAGACCACATTGTTGATTGATCCAGTTACCTTAAAGGAAACACTGCTAATACTCAAAGTCTAACAAATGTGCACAAATAGACATTGGAAAATAGAGAAGCTTGAGCACATTGAATCTTAAGGTAGTGAAAAATAATGCAGTGCAATACAGTTTTTTTTCTTTTTAATAGAAAATAGTGAATGGTGTGTTTCAGGATGTTGATGGTAAGCCTATGCAATATCTCAACATTTACTCTGACTGGGAACCAGAAGAAACTTTCAATCTGGATAAAATTGCTCGTGAGTTTTATAATTAAAACAGAATTTTAGTTAAAAGGATGCTGTGCAATATTGAGGATTATAAATAAACAGTTTGGATGAGTTACAAGATGTTTATAGATATGTTAAGTGAAGTTTTTATGTACTCTGTTCATAATTTCTAAGAATTTACTGAAAGTTGGGTTTGGGAACCAGGGAGGCTCAATATTGTGTATGCATGAAATTAATTCATTATTTCATTTGTTTTGGAGAATTGTGTATTGTATGATAATTCTTTTCCAGAGAGCTGTCAGAATGTAGAATTACAATTTTTGCCTTTCCATTTATGCCACACAGAGTGAGTATTCTCAGTGATAGATATTATTTTTAAATATTGTTAGTGCTTGCCGTGTGAAATCTTACAAGTCAACAGCATATAGATTTTGTGTAGACCCCACAATTTTTTAAATATTTAATTTGATGGATTCATTTTGTCTTCTCTAAACCTATTTTTGGGGGTTTTGTCTTCTCCAAACCTATTTTTGAGCCCTTTCTGCTGTAGTTTGTGTATTGCAGTATTAAGTATATTTTCTGTTACATGTATGCTCTTTTAATATTATTTTTTAGCTACATAAACCCAGATGGAAGAAGAGAGACTGTTTTCTTACTAAGTGGCAATGATAACCATGTACATTTGTTCAGAGAAGTAAGAAGATTTGATAAGAATAAAAGATAAAACATTGAATAGACATGGAGTGGTGGAAAAATAAAAATTAACTTCAATTTGCATAATTTCCATCAGTATCACTGAAAATTTTGCTGTTTCTGCAGTTCACTTTAAAAAAAGTCAGTTAGCATGCATGTATTTGTGTCATTGGCATGCTTTTTTTTTAATTTTCTTTTTTAATTTGGAAAGTAAAGTATAGATAATGGTTACTGCATATTTTTTATCTTTTATAGCTCAAGAACTCTGACACATTCTATCAGCAACCTACAAATGAAACATTTCCAGAATTTATGAACATAAATAGCAGGTATGGTTTTTAAAATTTTTTTATCAGGAAGATAAAATATGCACAATGAAGTGATTTAATATATATATATACATATAGTTTTGTATAGTTTTTCACGAAAAATGTGTGCTGTCAGCATGTGGTATGCAGTAACTAACTAAAAGAAATATTTTGACATGTTTACATGCTCTTATGTTTTCTCATCAGAATTGTATTGGATATAGGTAGTGATATATTGCCTTTCAGTGTGATGTGGATAGATATACAACATTTTGAGAGTGGGCACAAAAGAATAACAGGGTTTTGCTGTCAGAATGGCTATGTTCAAGTGGTAACTGTTAAAACAATGACTAAAGGTATATATAAGGGGTCATTACTGAGCATGGTGTAGAAAAAATATACAAGTAATGTATGTATAAATACTATGCTAAAATGTATTGATCATGTTTGTATGTGTGCTCTATATATTATATATACTTGTGCTATAAGTATAAATATCTTGTAAATTCACAAGAAGTTAAATGCCCCTTGATATACAATAAAATCATTAAATTAAATGCCAAGTCTCTTAATATAGAATGAAATCAAATATTTTTATGATAAGGAATGAATCTTTGATTTGTTCCTTTTCCAGAGATCCTTTCATGTTGGTCTACACAGCATGATGGTTTGACCACATCACTACATTTATTCTCTGCAGATACAAGTGTGGAATGTCCTTCATTTGTCCGCACAGGTGGGTTTAAGGTACTGACTAAAATCAGACTGAAGGGAGGCTCTTATATTTATATACACAGGTTTTATAAATCTATTTCTGGACCTACATGTAAAGTGTTTTCAATCCCAGTTTTTATAAATTTATTTCTGGAAATAGAGTCAGTTTAATAAACAAATTAACTACAGTCATTAAAATTTGTAAATGAATTATGTACATAGAAAAACGAAAAACTAAACTTTGAAGGAGCAAGGTATGTGTATTTAAAGATGTACTTTATGTCAAGTTTGTAAGCCAATATTAAATCTGTGTTTATATATGATTGAGTATGTTGCATATAAGTGTTTTCTCACCAAGACTAAAATGCATGATTATGACTTTGCATCTATTTTTAGAAAATGAAGGGGAAGAAGTGAAAAAGAAACCAAATTTCAACTTAGTAGTAACCAGTGCCTTAGAATTAACTGTGAACTACAGGTAAAATATTAATTGAACGCTTGAAAATAACTTGAAGTATGTATTTTACCATTACATTGAACAGATCATAACCTTCTAAACACAGCAATATTTTAAAAGAGAACAACCTCGTACAGTACATGGAAAATTCATGTTTGTTTCCCTTTTAGGATCTAGATTTTGCTATTTGTGAAGGCAAATAATTTTGCTTTTAAAACTGTATAATATTGTTAAAAAAAGGAAAAACTACAGGTAATTTTACTGAAATATGTTTTTTGACAAACAAAACATGAGCAGAGTTACAGAATTTTTCTTTTACGCTCAGATACCAATGAAGCATTACAACTAACATTTTTTCTGTCAGTATTAAAAGTTAAAAAAAATGTATATGACAGGGTATCCTGCTTCTTTACACAGAGCAAAAGTGAATTCATTAAGTTTAATCCCAGATCTAGCCCTATAATGATGANTTTGAAAATCTGCTTGATTGTATCATTTTTAGTTATATTTTTTGCATATTTTGAGAACTCTTGTTGATTGCATCTTATAGAGCTTGTCAAACACCAGACTGGTGATGGTGTCCCTTTTAGGAGGGGGGGGGGTCCATACGAATGCGCTTACTCCAGCTGGTGGTACAATATCTGGAGGCGGTATCGCCTCTCTGATCCTCTAGTTTGCATTATCTTTACTTGTGGTAGGAATGTATTAGAGAGAGGTTTGGTTGATGTGAAGCACCTCCCAGATAGTGAGAGATATGACAGTGTTCTGTGCTCCTGTGTAACAGATATTGACTTTGATGGAGAAAATGAAATTTTACTTGGAACATATGGTCAGGTCAGTGCATGGGTCAGATCCATTTTTGGGCAAGACAGTGCAGTTTATTTTAGTAAATCAACATTAATCACTAAATGGTTTTGTCTGGTGTCTGTTTGAAATATACATAATATTATTAAAATGTATAATTTTTTCAGATTTCTATGGCAGTAGCAAAGCAAAATTGAATTGTTTGCGTGTTATACAGTTACTGCATTAATATGCCAACTACTAGTACTGAGAAAAGTTCAGAGTAAAATTTTTAATTACTTCTAAATTGAATTCATGAGAGGAAATAATGTAAAACATAAAGATAAAAAGACAGATTTTTAAATCCATGTGCCTATAGTCTATAATAGAATAAGGATGCCACTGTCAAAAAATGCTACAGTGCATGTATTGTTTTCATGAAAAAGGCATGGAATTCTTCTTTTAAATGAAATATTTTTGGCATTAACATGAAATTTAACATTGGTAGGAGTTACTGATCTACAAATTCTTCCCAACACAAACCTCAGAGACACAGCCCTCCGTTGAGTCAGCAGGTTCACCAAGAACTTCACCTAGAGAGATATTCAATGATGGACAGTTTAAGATGATCAGCAGACGCAGCTACTCCTCCCCTATTCTGGCTCTGGACTACATTGACATCACTGGTGATGGTCTTTATGAAATTGCAGTGTTGACTATGAAAGGCTTGCATATACTTCAGGTAAATACATATTTGATACAGCATGGAGATGGAAAGTCACAAAATCATTATTTTATTCTTTATAATTCCAGCCAAATAAGTGGATGGTTTTTTATGTGGATAGTGGTTTTTGTTGTGAATTAAAAAAAAATTAACTCCTGCTGGGATCAAAGTACATTTGCTTTGGATTCTGTACTTTTTAGGGCCACAAAACCACTGATGCATCTCCTATGTAGCTGAATTACCTTTATTCATGAAAAGTCTTTACTCACACTCATAGCCAATATTTTTCATTTTACTATTTGGGGTACTAGATAACCATAATGATATAAAGTTTACAATATTTGACTTTGACTACCAGTATCTACAAATTAATAGAAATATTTGATTGGCTTTCCAGCACAGTCTCCATACAGTAGCCTTCCTGTGCCAGGAGAGACTGAAATGTGCTACATCCTTAGGCACAAGACAAGATGCCTTTGATGAACTTATGACAGAAAACCTGGATACTAGTTAGCATTTTATCCACGGATGTATCAGACATGATCAATCTCATGCAGGCATGAGCTGTTTCTGTTTGTGCCTTTTTAATATTCAGTTTTTATCAAGGGTTTAGTCAGTGAGACGTCCAACCATCATTTGGCTGACCTGTTCAAGCAGAGAACAGTCTGTGTTATGGCTCGGATGTCTTTTTAAAAATTCTCAACAAGCCAGGCTTGACCTAATCTTTACAGCTGTCTATGGACCCTAATTAAGATTCAAAATGAGGCCATTGTGTATGTGTAGATGAAGGCTAAGGATTCCACTGCAAAATATTAAAGATGAAACTGGCATGGGAGGGGGCTGCATATATCTAGCAATACTGGTTAAATGCTTTCATGTAAATGCCACCTTTCATATAGAAATGAACTATGTGCACGTTAATATGTGTATTTAATGTGCGCCACTGATATATAATTTATGAAATAATTACATAATAAGGTATCAAACAGTTAATTCCTGTAGTATTTTTGTACTTCTTTCCAACAAAACAAGGTTAAATAAGTTCAGAGTAATAAATTATTGAGAAAATATATCGCAAATAAATATCCATACAAGGAACATGTGCATTGATAGGTAACATGTTACAAGGCCAGTAAAGTTATAACATATGCACTGAATGGTGTGGACGTGTTCATTCTCAAAAACGTCAGTCCAGAAATGCAGACAGCATAGGCAACACTGTCCTCTCTCAATTGCATTCAAAACTAGAGGATCAGAGAGGCGATACCGCCTCCGAATATTGTACCACCAGCTGGAGTAAGCGCATTCGTATAGACCCCCACATACACAAAATAAGGGACACAGCCACCATGCCTGTGCTTGACAAGCTGTAAAAATGCAATCAACAAGAATTTTCAAAATATGCAATAAAATATATATAACTAAAAATGGTACAATCAAAGTTTAGTTCATCGCAAGGTAGGTCAAAGGTCAATTTCAAGGTCACAGTAAATTGCCAGTATATGACTTCCTATTCAACTACAATAGTAACTATGGACCTATCTCTGCCAGGTTTGGAGTTAAAAGAGAAAGAAATCAGCAGGGTTCAGTTCATGGTGAAAAGTAGGTCAAAGGTCAATTTCAAGGTCACATTTAGATTGCCAGTATATGACTTCCTATTCAAGTTCAATAGTAACTATGGACCTATCTCTGCCAGTTTTGGAGATAAAAGGGAAGCAAAATTTGCAAAGTTCAGTTCATGGTGAAAAGTAGGTCAAAGGTCAATTT